CCTTCTGCCTGCCCCGTGAAAAGTGAAAGTGAAAGTCACTTAGTCATGTCTGACTCATTGCGACCCCATGGACTATACAGTCCATGGAGTTCTCCAGGCCAGAATTCTGGAGTGGGTAGCAGTTCTCCCTTTTCCAGGGGGTCTTCCCAACCCAAGGATCAAACCCAGGTCTTCTGCATTGCAGGTGGATTCTTTATCAGCTGAGCCATCAGGAAAGCCCAAGAATACTGGAGTGGGTAGCAGTTCCCTTCTCCAGCAGATCCTCCCGACCCAGGAATCGAACCAATCAGGGTGTCCCGCATTGCAGATGGATTCTTTACCAGCTGAGCTACCGGGGAATCAGGTGAGGTTACAGCCAAAAGTCTAGGAAGCAGGTCCTCACCAGATACTGGGTTGGCCAGAGCTTTGATCTTGGACTTCCCAGCTTCTAGCTCCATGAGAAATAAATTTTTGTTTATAAGCTACCCACTCTGTGGTATTTTGTTACAATAACCTGAATGAACTAACACAGTGTTCCATCAAAAGTCACTTTGCTTCTCAACTCTGCTGGAAGGAAGGTAGGATTTTAGAATTTGGTAGTAAGTAGCAGTGGGAGCTGGCAGATGTGGATAGAAGAGACCCGGAGACCACTGCTGGGGGGGGCCTCGGAGGAAGCCTTTGACCACATGTTAGCTTTAAGGGGACAGCAGCAGGGTTACTCTGGGAACCTCTGAGATGCATCTGAGAAGATTCACATAAGGGGACAACAAAGGAAGCGCCAGATGGGAAGGAAAATCAGACACTGAAACTAAAGCTTTCTGAAAACAGGACCCAAGTCACACTGAGGTGTCAGGGGCACCGAGCCTTGGGGAAGGACAGCTCCCCGCTCACTCAGTAGTTATTTAGGGTCACCAAAAGGAGGGCTTCCTCTGCAAGGACCCAGAAATGCAGTGAGTGGCAGCCTGTGCAGAAAAGCATGAAAAGGAAACTCTGGCGGATGGAACCAACGGGTCTTGCTGCCTGTCACTAATGGGTTCAGCAGCAGCAGTGGGTTAAAAATGATCTCACACACACACACACACACACGCCATGACTGACCCTCCGCTCTGTCTCCTGGCTCAAGCATTCAGCCATCACTGCATAATAACCAAGCTTTGAAAGCTGGGCTGATAACAGAGAGTGAGGTCCCAGGTGATGGTACCAGGTCACAAGGATGGCGTAGTGAGACTGAATCCCTCTCCCCCTCCATAAAGGACTGCATGCACATAAGGGGGCGGAGGGGGTGAGGGATTGTGTAAGGAGGCAGGATGAAAGGGTCCACAATGTACATTTCGGAAAAACCAAGAGAAAGAATGAATTGAAGCCAGCTGGAGGCATGAACAGCAGTGAGGGTTTGCACCTCGGCCACCTCCTACTCGGCAGAGACATTGGATGAATTCCTACGGTCGTCTAGAGAAGCCTATGGTACCTCCTCTGAGTGCTTGAAAAAGCAGCAAATAAAAGACATAGGACTACAACAGTCCACCTAATAAAATCAATCGGGGAAATAGCTACACATATGCCTCTTTATTCTTTCATTAAATAAAAGGATCTCACGGGAGATTTAATAAGTACATAATTTAGAATTAGGGATGAGCATAAACACTCTCGTAAAGCATCTGCCGCAGCTGTGAGGTACTCTGAAACTACCTGTGATTTCCCTTGAGGACCAAGTCACAGACATTGTTCATACTCTGGTGATGTGTTGTTTATACTCCTATTTACAGAAAATGCTAAGTTTCACATAGAGGTTCATGAAAATGAAGAGAGAGTTTTTTCCTCTCCAAGACCATGAACCCCTTCCATTTTAGCTACAGACTCCTTGTTGGGATCTGTGGATCTCGGGTGAAGAACCCTCAAGGAAAACTTCAAGTTCTTTTCAAAATCACTATAAACTTTAATTTCAGCTGGCCAGAAATTAGATTCCCCAGGCACAGCTAACAAATCCAAGGAATTTTTCCAGCAACCACAATCAGCAACTTACAGAGACATGAGCAGTCACTCTGTCTCCCACAGACACCCCAGTTCTCCTGGTTACAGGAATCTAGAACCCTCTTCCCCAGCCCCAACGCCCTGTCTGTTTAAGAAGCATCTTCCGAGAACCTTCCTTACCAGACTCTTCTCCTCTTTGTCAATGTGCCAAGCCCATCGCCCTGCTGCCATCTGCCCTAACACCACCTCCCTTGACTTTTTTTGAAATGTCAACACATTGTCTTTTTTCTCTGCATACTTTATCTGGGTCAGCGGCTGAATCAGTCTGAGCACAATGGCAGCCAAACTAACACTGTGAGAGCTCAACTTCATCACGTTCACACCTACAGATTCACATCCAGGTGCCCAAATCCTTGTCACTGAGGGAACCAAGTGAGGGATGTGAATGGATGAGTCTCACGTATCAACAGGGGTTTCCCTGTTGGCTCAGCATCAAAGAATCTGCCTGCAAGGCAGGAAAAGAATCTGCCTGCAAGGCAGGAGACGCCGTTTCCATCCCTGGGTCGGGAAGATGCCCTGGAGAAAGAAATGGCAACCCACTCTAGTATTCTTCCCTAAACCATCCCATGGACAGAATTCGCCTGGCAGGCTACAGTCCATGGGGTCACAAAGAATCAGACATGGTTGAGTGACTGAGCATGCACATACCAACAAGCATTTATTGTGACCCTATGAGCCAGTTCTGGGTTGCAAAGTGGTTGCAAAATACATCTACATTTGAGGAAATAACTCAGACAGTAATCCCCAACGGCTGGGCCTGGGGATGCCTTAATATTAGTCAATAATTTCTCCTTGGGCACCTACTAGGTTTCAGACACTGAGAAGGTGCTGGGAATGAATATTGTAAGTCAGCAGATATGAAAAATCACATCCAACTGTCACAAATGATACAAACAGAAATAAGAAGGAATAGTGTGGAGGGTATAATGGGGGAAAGGGGCTTTGTTATATGTGGCCATGGACAAAATCCTCTCCCTGAAGAGGTAAACTGCAAACAGAAAGAGACCCACAGGATGAGGAGGAGCCGTCTCTGAAAAGCCAGAGGAAAATGGGAGGGGTTGGTGCCTTCAAGGATAAAAACCCAGGGGAGCTGAGAGCACCCGTGATGCAGGGCACTCACATGAGCTTGGCTGGAGAGGTAAGCACTGGCCACATCAGACAGGCAAGGCCATGCGGCGGAGAGGCTCACAGCACGGACTCCAGAACCAGACCAGCTTGGAATTAGGCTCGGAAACTTCTCGGGCTGTGTGGCCCTGGGCAAAATCACTCACCTTCTCTGAACCTTAGCCGCTTCATCTTTAGGTTGGGATCATCGCCTATGTCTGTCACTGAGTGGCTAAATGCATTGAGTGTAAAGCATTTAGGGCAGAGCCCGGGCACGTGCCAGGCTACGGTGTGCTGTGGTCTGCTCCGAAGTTCAGTGAGAAGCTGGGGAGGATTTTAAGCCCGGGAGATGCAGGATCTGGTTTGTCTTTAACAGATCATTGGCTGCTGCTTGGGCTACTGGTCCTCAAGAAGACAAAGAGCTGGAAGTGATCCCTGAGGTCATTTGCACCCACAGGGGCCCCAGTGATTCTGGGAAGGGGAGAGGGGACAATGCCTGAAGAGCTGCCCCAGTGAAAGGCAGAAGAATGGCTGTCCCTCAGGCGTGCCGAGTGGGAGAGGAGGTTGAGGCCTCCGTGTTTGGAGAAGAGCTTGTACAACAGCCCCCCGCCCTCGCCTCCCGCCCAGGCCCCATGGGCAGCCCGCTGCTCCCATTTCAGACGGCTCTGGATCCCACATGCCCCTGCCCAGCTGACCCCGGATCCTGCCGGCATCAATGTCACTTTGCTGGGATCCTAAGTGCCTCAAGGACAGCAGCCATTTCCTTCCCCTCTCACAGTGAGGGACACAGGGCCCCGCAGCTGGGCCTGGGCTTTTGAATAATTGATTGGCAAAAGGAAGGTGGAGGCACGGCTCTGTAGGGCCACTCCTGGAACTCTCAGCCCAGGAAGGAACCGAGGGGGCCCAGGGAAGTCGTTAAGTCACCTCCCTCTTCCCCCGGGTGCCTGCCTTCCTCCAGTCTCTCCGGCCAGACCCTTCCTCCCAGGTCTCCAGAGGACATTTCACCTCTGCCACTTCGGGGATGCGTCCTGGAGTTCACAGCCCACCTAGGGCAGTCCTCCCAAACCCTTCTCAGACCCCCTTCGGCTGCACTGTACAATGGGGACTCCACCCATTTTCTGCCCAGAGAGCCCCGGGGGGACCAGCTCATGTGGCCATAAAAGCCCTGCTGTCTCCAGAGACATCTGCAGCCACATCGTTGGGGAGTGGGGGGTGGGAGGGCGGCTCAGAGCTGCTCCCTCAGGCTGGCTGGAGCTGCGGGCTGCTGGGAGGGGGTGAGGGTCGCCCAGGACCTCCATATTCACCGGCCTCTCCAGATCCCAGCACCCCCAGCCCAACTGCCCCCTCCCCCGCTCCCACTGCAGCCCCCAGCTGCCGCCTCTGTCCATTTCCATTCTCCCCTCTCAGCTCGGTCAGTGAGTTCCCCTGCGCCAGCGGCACAGCGGCCCCACTCTGTTCCCCGTCACCCTTTCTCTTCTCCCCCGTTCCTGGGGCTTCTCCTTCTCGGTCACCCCTCTTCTTCTCCCCTAAGCCTCGCAGCCCCCTGCCCCAAGCCCTCACAGCCCCCCTGTCTTATTACTCCCCCGCGGCCCCCAACTCTCCTCCCAGCTCCAATTCCTATCCAAGCCCCCTTTCCCACTCCCTTGCCCGCACCTTTAGGCTTGCAGTCCCCTTACCTTCTGTACCCTAGCCGCTGCCACCCACCCCCGCCCCAGGGTCTCTGAACGCATCCGCTGTCCAAACACATCCGCTGTCCCCACTCCCAGACGGGCTCTGTCGCGCAAAGAAGAACGCCAACCATTCCTTCCCACCCACTCCCCGGCGCCGCAGCCGCCCGGGAGACCCCCACCCGAGGCCCGCGGAGGCCGAGGCCCGCCGCCGCTCACCTGTTGGGCGGACCGGAGCACGCTGGGCTTCGCCTTCTCCGGGTCGGGCTCCAGGTCTCTCTGCAACACTCCCTTCTTGGGGTGCATGTGCCGGCATAGGCAGGTGACCCCGCACAGCGCGAGGATGCTGGTGGCCGTGCCCAGCGTGGCGCCCAGCGCTATCACCGGCACCGACAGCACCATGGTGCCCGTTCCCCCGCACCGGGCTCGGTCCCGCCGCCGCGCGCCTCCCCGGCCTGGGATCCAGGCGCTCCAGCCGCTCTCCCGCCGCCGCCGCCGCCGGAGGGGCGGAGGGGCGGGGAGGGAGGGCGGCTCGAGGACGTCAGAGCGGGAGGCTGGACCCGGAGCCGGCCGGTGCGCCCGCACTCGGCACCGCGTCAGCCCAGCACGTGACCCGACCCCCCACCCCGGCCCAAGGCAGATCCGCTCAGGTGGAAGGAACCTGAGCGCATCATCCTCTCGTCTCAAGCCATCCTTCACGCTTTACGTAGGACACTTGGGTTCAAGAAGAGCAGGAGCTCGCCAAGGTCACGCTGTGCGTTAGGTTAGCCGGCAAACCAGGACTCAAACCTTGGCCTGCGGCTCTGTCTGGATAGGGGGTCGTTTACCAGACTACTAACTCTGGTGCAGAGAACGCTCTCCTTGGAAAAGACCCCGATGTTGCTGGGAAAGATTGAAGGCAAAAGGAGCAGGGGGCAGCAGCGGATGACACGGTTAGATAGCATCGTCAACTCAATGGACATGAATTTGAGCAAAATCTGGGAGATAGGGAAGGACAGGGAAACCTGGTATGCTGCAGTCCATGAGTCTGCAGAGTCTGATACGACTTAGGGACTGAACAAAAAAGCTTTGTTCACCCTCTGGCCAAGGAGGCTGGAAAATCGAGGCCTGCAAGAGCTTTTTCAAACACAAAAAGCTGGAGATTTCCCATCTCCCGAAATTGCCATGTGTTTACTACTAGGGAGAGGGACTGGCAGCCAGGGAGAGGGCATTGATGCCATGTCTGGGGTTGAGACTATACCTATCTTGACCTGGAGAGGATGATTGCAATGATTCTTTTCACATCTGCACTTCCTTAGCGATGAGATTGGCATGTATTCTCATCTCCATTTACAGATGAGGAAGCCTAGACTCAGAGGGGACGTGGGGCAGGTTGAAAAATCCAAACTCAAGTTTGCAGGTTTCAAGTCCACATGCCCAAAGGAAAGGACTTACATTAGAGGGATAAAGAGTATCAAATGCAGCAGCTAGGAATCCACACTTTGATCCAGAGAGAGAGAAAGAAATTTTGTGTGCTTAGAGTGAGGGAAAATTAGAATTCCAGGCCTGAGGAGGGTTGTCTCAGATCGCAAACAGGGCTTTCCAGTGATTTTCATTATGTGGAATGTTTCATTTAATTCAGTAAGCATTTGCTGTGAGTTGGCGGTGCTCTAAGCACACTGGACACATGTGAGGAGTGGAGGTGATTTCGTTCCAAACAGGGCTCTAAACGTCCCATGAGGCTGATGACTCCCAAATCTATGATCATTCTAGCCAGACCTTTACTGTCGAGATGCAGGCGTGACCAACATCTGATACCTCCCAGTGTTTGTTATCCATTTCTGCATAATAAACCCATAACTTAGTGTATTAGAGGGCTTCCCAGGTGGCTCAGTGGGTAAAGAATCTGCCTGCAATGCAGGAGACGTGGGAGACATAGGTTCAACTTCTGGATTGGGAAGATCCCCTGGAGAAGGAAATGGCAACCCACTCCATTATTCTTGCTTGGAGAATCCCATGATTCTTGTGAGCTACAGCCCATGGGGTCGCAAACAGTCAGACATGACTGAAGCCACTCAGCATGTAGTGGCTTAGAACAATTCTTTTGTGACTTCTCATGTGGTTTGTGGGTTGACTGGGCTCAGCTGGGCAGTTTTCCTGCTCAACATGGTATCTCCTGGGACAATGGTCAGCTGGGCTGGAACATCCAAGATGGCATACCTCATGGCAAGTGGTTGGTGCTGGCTATTGCTCAGAGCACACCTGGGCTGAGTACAGAGGACTTGGGTCCTTCCTCATGCGATCAGAGCTTCTCACAGCATCACAGCCAGGTTCCGAGGAAAGAAGCTGAAGCTGCCAGTTCTCCTAAGGCCTGCGTTCATCAGTCCTAGAACATCATTTCTTTGGTCAAAGCAATCGTCTCCTTCTAATCCTTTCTCTCAGTTCAGTTCAATCACTCAGTCATGTCCAACTCTTTGTGACCCCATGGACTGCAGCATGCCAGGCCACCCTATCCATCACCAACTCCTGGAGTTCACTCAAACTCATGTCCATTAAGTCGGTGGTGCCATCCAACCATCTCATTTCTCTGCAGGGCATCAAAGGGATGTTTCTGAAATGCAAAGCTGATCTTGTCACTCACACATATAAAAGCTTTCACAGTTTCTCCAGTAATAAACCCGAGAGACTCCAGTTGAATCCAGAGCCCTTTGTGATGTGATCCCAACCCTCTACACACTTCCCAACCTTCCCTCGAGCCCCAGACACTCCCGGGGACAACTGGATTCAGTCAGCAAGTGCGTATCTTTAGGGCTTCCATACTGTCAGCCCTGAGTATGTACAGCAGGCACTCAATAACTGTTGAAAGGGTGAATGGTTCGCCACCTCATGTGGAACTTCCAGTGGCTTGAAAGGAATCCCGTTTGCTAAATGAGCTCCATTTGATTAAATGGACTCTTCTGTAAGTATTTATTTTGTGCCTGCTGTATGCCTGGGCGCATTTTCCCACAGAGCTTCATTTGCTGCCATCTGTGGAGCTGAAGTGCCTTAGTCCCTGGTGATAGACTTAGCATTCTCTCTCATAAGAGCTTCCCTGGGAGGCTTTCTTGGCTCCCGAGCCTGGCAATGCAAAATGTCCTGGGGAAATAAGAGGTTTAATTAATGCTGTCAGTCTGGATTTCCCATGCCTGAGCTGCTCCCCTGGGAGACCCTCAATGCCACCTAACAAGACCTGGGGTGGGGGTGAGGAAAAGGATGAAGAACACTTACTATCAGACATTTTCTGATGGGGATCAGACATCTGTCATGTGGTCCCTTGTTACTATGGTTACTGAGATGTTAGCAGCTGCAGTGACCTTCATTTTTAACAAGACGAGGGACTCCAGTCCAAGAAGAACAGAGTGCCTTTTGCCTCTTTCACACACAGTGAACCCATCACCGAGCTCGGCTAGACCTCCGGAGATTTGAAACCCAGTTAAGTCATTAGGGCCCTGGGTCACCTTGGCTACATCTCATCAAAGATGTGACTTTTGCTTCTTGGTTACTGATACCCAGGCAGCAGCCTTTAATGACAACTGTCTAAGAAAAGGCATTAGTGTGATCCTTTGAAAAATGAGATCATCTATTGAGAAAGGCAGTTGACAGCGTGGAACACTAAGACAGTCTGAGGATGAGGTTTGCAAATAATTGGAATGCTGGGGCCACCAGAATGCCAAGGGCAGACAGACCAGGATGTTCGGGTTTGGAAGCGGTGCTGGGGGCGGGGGACTTCTGGAAGGCTGAGTAGATCTCTGAAGATTCCCCAGCCTCTTGATGAAATGCCATTGTTGCTATTCTGATGCATATTTTACAAGCCGGATGTTGAATTTTTTTAAGTATTCTGAGTAACTGCTTTGAATTTTTAAGATATTAAAATGCTTTTAACTTGGGGGAAGGATTTCAAATATAGGAGGTACTCTTATTTAGCAAACATTTATGATGTCTGCCTATAGTGGTTGGCAGGAGGGAGGAAACTTACAAGCAGAACAACTGAATTTTAGCATCAGAAGGATTTCAGAGATGGCTGTGTGGAATTCCTTTATTTTACCAAGAGGAAGCCTGGAGACTGGAGAGATTGTGGCTGGTTTCAGGGTAGAAGGAGTGAACGGCAGAGATGGGAAGGTGTTTTCCATCAGGGTAGATTAGGTTTTGCTGCAGTAACAAGTAACTTCAAACCTCTGAGATTAACTCAATAAAAGTATATCTTGCTTCTATTATAGTTCAAGGAGGGTCAGAGAACCTGGGTGGGCAGCTCATCTCTAATCAGGAATCTGGGCTTTTTCTGTCTTGAGACTCCTTTGCTTTCAGCCATGGAGACAGAGGAAAGAGAGGGGATTGAAGACCATTTGTGACATTTCTGAGGCCATGGATGAAAACAGTACATACCTTTCACCCCACTGACCAGTCAGAATTTGATTACATGACATCTCATAATATGATAGAGGAGATTGGGAAATACAGAGGAGAAGCATTAACTAAAGTAGTCTTTGCCACAGGAGCCAGAGCTTAGGACTTCCTCTCTAGTGCTTTCATTCTCTCAAGAAAGTTTTTGAGCTTCTACCACGTGCCAGGCACTGTGCTCAGTGAAAGAGCTATTTTTGCTCTTTAGTTGCTAAGTTGTGTCCAACTCTTTGCAACCCCATGAACTGCAGCACGCCAGGCTTCCCTGACCTTCACTATCTCCCAGAGTTTGCTCAAACTCATGTCCATTGAGTTGGTGATGCAATTTAATCATCTCATCCTCCACCGCCCCCTTCTCCTTTTGCCTTCAATCTTTTCCAGCATCAGAGTTTTTTTCCAATAAACTGGCTCTTCGCATCAAGTGGCCAAAGTTTGGAGCTTCAGTTTTAGCATCAGTCCTTCCAATGAATATTCAGGACTGATTTCCTCTAGGATTGACTGGTTTGATTTCCTTTCAGTTCAAGGAACTCTCAAGAGTCTTAACCAGTGCCATAATTCAAAAGTATTCAATTTTTTGGCACTCAGCCTTCTTTATAGTCCAAATCTCATATCCTTACATGACTACTGGAAAAACCATAGCTTTGACTATATGGACCTTTGTCGACAAAATGATGTCTCTGCTTCTTAACATGATGTCTAGATTTGTCGTTGCTTTCCTTCCAAGGAACAAGTGTCTTTTAATTTCATGGCTGCAATCACCATCCACGGTGATTTTGGAGCCGAAGGAAATAAAACGTGTCACTGTTCATGCTTTTTCCTCTTCTATTTGCCATGAAGTGATGGGACTGGATGTCATGATGTTAGTTTTTTAAGTATTGAGTTTCAAGCCAGCTTGAAGATTCAGGGGATCTTCCCAGCCCAGGTATCAGACCCATGTCTCTTGCATCTCCTGTATTGGCAGGCAGATTCTTTGCCACTAGCACCACCTGGGAAGC